TTGCAATGACGTCGGCCAACGTGGCCTTGCCCTCCAAGTACAATCGAACGTCCTTATTTAGACAACTCACAATGCACCACGCGCGCTGGTCCGCTGGCATTTCAACGTTGTGCATGCGGTACAGCTCGTCCAAGTACTGCAGGACGTACACGCGGTTGTACGTGCACCCGTAGTAAAACGGCGTCTTGAGCTCGGCGTCGACTTGGTCGAACCGGTGGCCGTCGACTTCGATCAGGCGCTTGAGGGTGCCCAAGTCCCCTTGCTTGGCAGCGTACCAGATCGAGATGGGCGTCGCGTCAGTCATGGCAGGGTATTGCTACCTTGGCAAGTGGCCGAATGGGCTCTTCACCGTCCTCGACCAGAGCTGGCACTTCGCACCAACACGCACATTCCAAGAAAATTCCATTGTGTACGACTCAATGCGTGGAATGTCAAACACGTCGTTGTCGTGTACCCCGTTGTATTTCATCCAACTATGAGTACACCACAACAACGAATATCTCACAATGTTCACTAGGTAGTTGCTGTATGGCCAGAGAGATTTGTCGGAGCGCCGCTGTGGGGGTGTGCGAGGGCCATGAGACCCGATGGGCTTGATCCATACCCTAAGGGATTCGCTAGTGCTGCAGCAGCATTGCGTGGATGGCCGAGGTGTATTCCGCTAACATGACGAGGAAGCATTTTCTCACGCCTTGTAACAAGAGGACTCGGTGAACTCGACCACATGCAAGCATGCTGTAGACTAGATGACGCTTGGGGATCATGGATACCCTCGCTTTGTCATGTCCACGTTGGGCCAGCAGCGCTTCCAGGACACGTGCTTCAAGCGATCTCAACACATGCGATGGTGGTGGCAAGGTCGGCGATTATAAAAAACAATGCCATATAGTAATGTCATTAAAACGTCAAAGAAAAGAACACTTAATTTAAAACTCGAAGCGAATGTGCGGTGGTTACGATGTGATTGGCCAATCGAAATGGCGATCTGCGGTTTGATTGGCCAAGTTGCCGGGCGAGCCTACCCAAGCATTAAATACGAACTCGCCCGGCGTGACCGACCATGGCGACCGAAGGCATGCATGACGTGAACTGGCACAAGATCTTCCCGAAGCGGATCCCCGTGATCCTTCGGGATTTGGCGCCGCTAAATGCGTTCAACCCGACAAACTTGTGGCCGGAAGAGGCGGCTCCCGCGGCGGCGTCGCCGGACGCGGACAAGGGCAAAAAGGAAAAAAAAGACAAGAAGGCACCGGTGCTCAAGAAGGCCGACTTGATCCGCCTGCAGCTCGCAAAGGACCTCGAAGAGAAAAAGAGCAAGCAGGACGAGGAAAAACTCAGCAACGCCAAGTATGTCAACCTCATGGACATGAAAATGGCCACTGCGGCTGGCCGCATGAAGCAGCTGTACGAGATCAAGAAGGAATTCCTCGCCAAGAAGAACTACATTGACGCCGTTGACACGTTATGGGAAATCCAGCACATGACGTCCAAGGCCAACGCGCCCCCGTCCGAAGACGAAGTCGTCGTCCACAAAAAGTACAAAAAGTACGCCAAGAAAGCTATCGACTACCTCAAGGATACGCCGCTCATTCCGTTCCAGCTCACGGAAATGAGCGATCGGCTGCCACCCCTCAACTTGCACCACATGAACAAGTTCATCCTGGATACATGGCAGAAGGAAGTCTTGACCCACATCGACCAAAAGCACTCGGTCGTCGTGTGCGCGCCGACGAGTTCCGGGAAAACGGTAGGTTGCCCTTGGTTGGATGGGCAACCCTAAGCGAATCGCTTTGATGCGTCTAGGTCCTGTCGTCGTACGTGTCGGTGATCGGGGGGAAGGTGCTCTTCATTGCGCCGACGGAGCCTCTGGTGTGGCAAGTGGCGGCGCTCTTTCAAGCGATGGTTAAGGGGACAGTCGCGTTGGTGACCAAGGGCACGGTGTTCCTTCCCGAAGGCTTCCGCATTTGCGTCGGTACCCCCGCCGCGGTCGAATCGGCGCTTCTCGACATTGGGTATGTGTCTACGGTCGGGTCGTGGCTGGTTTTCCTTGTGTGGGGCACGTCTCTGAAGCCACGTCGTCCTTTGATATGTGTTTTTCACCTTGAGATTCTGCGATGTGCGGGCGACATGTCGGCACGTTTGTCGGCCCTGCGACGTTCAGCGACTTCCCATCGTGTGGGGTGCTGCTGTCGTCCCATGCGGTTGTGCGTATATGCCCGCGCCATGTTGTGTGCAGTTTTCTCGACCATGGTGAATTTTACATTCACGCTCCGTGACATGGCTAGGTACGACTTTCAGTACTGCGTGTTTGACGAAGTACACGACTTGAACGGCGCCGAGGGGGACGCGCTGGAGCGCATCGTGAAATCGATGTCGTGTCCGTTTTTGGCTCTGTCGGCGACGATCGGCAACGCGACGAAAGTGGCCGAGTGGTGGCGCGAATTCCACCCGAACCCGATCCACTTGCTCGAGTACCGCGGCCGCTTCATCAACTTGCAACGCCTTGTGTTCCAAAAGTCCAAGGTTGTCGAACTGCATCCGTGTGCCGCGGTCACGCTCGAGTACTTGGTCGAACAAGGGTTTGCCGCCGGCGACTTGGCCTTCACACCGCGCGACACGTATGCGCTGTGGAACGCCATGTGGAAAGTCTATCCACACGAGCTGATCGAAGACATTGCGCCGGAGAAGTACTTCAACTCGCTCGTCCAGCCATCAGCGGCAGGTGGTGCGGTCGCTTCAGAGAAAAAAAGCAAGAAGAAGTCGGATGACAAGAAATCGAGCTCCAAAAAGTCGAGCAGCAAAAAGTCCAAGGACGGCGACGACGACGACGACAATTTGGACTTTTTGAACCCGATGTGCCACCGCATCACGCTCCTCGAGTCCAAGCAGTACGAAGAAGTGGTGAAGGCTCGTCTCCAGTCACTGGCGGCCAAGTTCCCCGCCGAAACCCAAACATTGCTCAAGGGGTTCAGTCTGTCGAACCTAGAGTCGACCGAATTGAACGTGACAGCGCTCATTTTCGACCTCGTTGCCAAACAGTTGATCCCGGCGATTTGCTTTCAACTGGATTCGGTGCGATGCCGTCAACTGTTTGACGAACTCCTCGCAGGGATCGAAGCCGCACAGGACGCCAAGTACCCTGGCTACCGCCTCAAGGTCGAAGAAGAGTACGCCGAGTGGGAGCGCCAGCAAGAAGCCGCCAAGAAGGCGAAGGCGAAGAGCAAGGCGTTGCAAGAAGACCAAGAACGGTATGAACATTGAGAGCATACGGACGTGCACGATGACGACGTGTGTTGTGATTGCTTGCAGGGAAGCGCAGGAATTCCAAGAGTCGAACGCTCCCGACATCTATGCCCCGCACCCCGAGTTTGTCCTCACGCCCCCCGGATTCCGTCTCTCTGCAGCTGAATTTCGCGAAATCAAGTGGCAATTGCGCCGCGAACTGTCGGAAAGCTCTGACGACGGCCACCCGTTGGTACGTTTGCCTTGAGGTTTTTGTGGGATGCATCGCGTGGGTGGACGAGTATGTTGCGCGGCTGGGACCTGTTGCCACCATGACGCATAGCGTGTGATGCCGTGTTTCATTTTCTGGGTGTAGGTACGATCGCTGCGCCGAGGGATTGCCATCTACAACGAAAACTTGCCGGCCGCGTACCTCCGCATCGTGCAATCGCTGGCCCAAGCCGGTCGTTTGGCCGTTGTGTTTTCGGACGAAGCGCTCGCGTACGGTGTGAACATGCCGTTCCGCACGTGTTGTTTCTGCGAAGATGCACCTGCGTTGAGCTCGCTCATGGTGCAGCAAATGGCCGGGCGTGCCGGGCGTCGTGGGCTCGATCGCCAGGGGAACATTGTGTTTAGCGGCATCGAATGGGGCCGCATGCAAGAACTCATGCGCGGGCTCTTGCCCAATGTTGACGGCAACACACACAACCTGTACCCGACGTTGTGTCTTCAGTCGTTCTTGGCGCCAAACGTCGTCACGTCAGAGCTGGTCGAGCGTATGGCTGGTCATTCGCTGCCTCATTTCATGCGCGGCGACCGCGTCACGGGCTACTTGGACCAAAGCCGCAAGTTTATGACTGCCGTTGGCTTGCTGTCGCCCACAGGTAAGTGCATGTGAAGCGTTGACAGTGCCATGCACGACGGTGGTTGGCATGCGATCGCTGCGTGTGCAACGAGCGAATGGCGAGTTGACGTGGCTGGTGTTAGGACAACTTAACGTGGACACGTCGATCGCGCGATTGATTTGGGAATGCCGCAAGGACGTGGCCGAGTCGATTGGGATTTTTCATTTGCTTGAACTCATGCTGACCGAATTTGGCCGCGTCCCGGGGGACAACATCGGCCACCAACTTGCACTCTTCAACATGCTCCTCCGCGTCGTTGGTCGCGAGCCGTACCATTCTGAGTACGCGCATGCATCGGCGTTGACGGTGGTCTCGGGGCAAGAGGCGGTCTGGGACAAGGTGACAGTGATCCTACAGTCGCTCCACGACAAGGTGGCTGCTTTGGACTGCCCGGATTTGGTACTTCCCGTGGCACTGGACGCCCCGCTCGACGGCTACGTGTGGAGCACGTTGGTGGAGAACGTGATTCCGTCGGGGCTCAAGACGGCCCAGTTGAATGCGATCAAGAAGCGTCTCTGGCACGTCGGCGACAAGCTCCGATTGATGCACAACTTGCTCATGTACAGCGGCCGGTACGGCGTGCTGGAGGAAATCGTGCGCAAATGCTTCCGACGCATCAAGTGGATCTTGATCGACTCGGAAGTGTAATCGGCGCAGCGAGTGACGAGCCCACGCGAAAGCGAACCAGTAACGGATGCAACACATAGAACTGCGTATACATGGCTTCGACGGGCGCAGGCTCCATCTCGCCACAGGGCTAACTTTGACGATAGCTGGGCCAACCTTCCCTGTAGGCGCCTAATGCGCGCTGTACGTTGAGCTGCACCAGTGACCGTCTATTGCATTAGGATTGTTGGAACGTTGCATCACTTGTCCATCACGTTGGGTGTTCGACCAGCCCTGTGTCGGATCGTTGAAACTATATCCAACGCTCCTGCATGCGGACCAAGCGCAGGCCGGTCGCACGTGCGCGTTGGCGCATGCACAAGCTTGAGAAGGACAGCACAGGCACACTGCATCGCGGGGTAAAGCCCGCGCGCAACGGCTGCGGCCGACACTTGCGCGATGGGTGCATCCAGAATGATAGTCTTTAATGTGAAGAATGGACTTTTATGAATTCAGCCAATCAAATCGCCTTCATGTCAAAATTAGTCCAATCCAGGCAGTCTACGCAAAATGTTTTTAGCCAATCAGAGACTATATTCGATGGTTTTTCCGTTTCATGCCAAACACACAACAACAGACCAAGTGGCAAGATGGAAACGCCGCTGTCGCCGTCACCACAGCCATTGACGCTTCAACTGGACCCTATCTCTGTGGAAGACATCCCTGTCGATGAAGAGTTCGACCATGTCGAGGAAACTCTTCTGTCCCCGACGTCAAAGCAACGATATCGATCCGGCGCCCTTCGGCATCGCTGTGGGTTCGGCTTTATCAAAGGAGCGACGGTGCGCACAAAATACTTTCGGCTACGCGACCATGGACTCCTCGGGTACTTTACCCAAGACGATCACACAGCGTCGTTAGAGATCATGTTCACGCTCTTCACGACGATTGAGACGCTGCCGCCGCCGTCCAACACGTTCGTCCTTCGGTCGGTAGATATTGTCCAGACTGCGACGTGGCTTAAGGTGGAGGACCCCGTCACTTTCAAAGCCAACTCTAGCGACGAAATGGACCAATGGGTTGCGGACATTCGTACTAAGCTCGACATGATGAAGCGCAAGGAGGACGCCAAGTCGTATCGCAAGCGATCGATGATTCCCGTGCACAATGCTGGTGAGCTCGTGGATCTCCCTCCATCTATCACTGCACCAGTCTAATTGCAATGGTAGATGATCTGGTCTTTAGCGTATCGGACGACCCGCCATACTACCGCACGTTCGCCAACAAGTTTCTCCTGCTCAACGAGATTGGGGAAGGATCGTTTTCGATTGTCCGCAAGGCCGTAAACCGACTGACTGCCGAAATGTGTGCCGTCAAGTGTTCCAAGCACACACCCGCGTTGCTCGAAGAAGTCGCCATCTTGAAACAGGTGCGACGTTGCCATGTACCCAACGACTGGAGCTCTCACAACAGTACTCGCAGCTGCACCACCCCAACATAGTCAACCTCCACGGCGTGTACAAACTCGACGACTTGTTTTACATCGTGATGGACTACATGGCGGACGGAGACTTGTGCGACAAGCTGATTCAAATCCAACGATTTCCAGAGGACCAGGTCAAGCACATCATCACGATGGTGGCCCGGGGAATTGAATATATTCACAGTCTCAACATCGTACACCGGTACGGTCCCAACAGCAATTGGATTTTCCCTGTGATGCCTTGGACTTTGCGCCCCATGACGCATGCAATAGCGACATCAAGCCCGAGAACATTCTGCTCCACAAATCGTCGATCAAACTAGCCGATTTTGGACTAGCCAAACGCATCACCGACGCCTCTGGGCAGTTCCAAACAGGCTGCGGCACCCCTGAATACGCCGCGCCCGAGCTGCTCTACGGCTGGCCCTATGGTACGCGATCCACCCTCGTGTGCGCGAGACTTACGTGCATCTCACAGGCACCAAGTCGGATCTATTCAGCCTCGGCGTTGTCATGTATGTGTTGCTGTTTGGCAGTTTTCCGTTCACAGTGGCATCGGCGGCGGCACTCCAGCGGTTGGATCGGTTCTCGGAAGGCAAAGATATTCGAGACATGAGCTGTCTGCATCCGTCCAACCCGATATGGAGCACCGTGTCGGCGCAAGCGCAAGAAGTGCTGCGCGGACTCTTGGCCGTCGATCCGTCCGACCGGATGTGCGCCTCAGACGTGCTGCACCACCCGTGGGTACGAACGCCACACGTCCCCTTGTCGGTCCATTTCACGTGCACTGTCGTGCGTAGCTCACTCAACGTGACACGTTGCCAGCGACAGAGCCAACGCTGGCAGACGACGACAGCATTCGAATTCACAACTGCGTCGAGACGGGCTTTGTCGAGCTCATGTCACGTGGGTTTGAAGTGCTCAAACACAACCAGAACGGCAAGTCTAGCCACGCACATCGCACAACCCTTCGATACGACGTGGCGACCCACAGCATATCGTGGACGCCCGCGTCGACGTTGCATCAGCACCCGAAAAAACACTTTCACGCCACGGTTCATCCGCGGACCATCTTCCTCCGGGACGTTGTGAATATTGCGGCGGGGTGCGAAACGTCGCGTGCGTTTTTGAAAATGAAGCACCCAACGATTAAGGACGACCACTGCTTCTCGCTTGTGACAGACGGTCGGACGTTGGACCTTGAGACGGAGACCAAGTGGCAGCAGCAGTACATGGTCGAAGGCTTCGCGCGACTCGTCCAGATGGCCAAGGCAACGCACAGTGCCGCCGCGCCGGTCGTCGTGGTTTCGAGGGGCAGCGATATCGCCAACCCCCTGACGTCGTGATCGACAAGAGCTGTGTTGCGGAGGCCACGTCGTACGAATAAATAAGGTTTCCTATGATGTGAAGCTGTTGGTAAAGAGGCCCATGCCTGCGCGGTCGAGCTTTTCTTTTGTATCGACGATCCTAAGCACCATCGAGAATGAAGAGATGGAGCGTGAAGCTGACGTACTCGGCGGATTGCCAGACCGAGAGCACGCCCAGCAGCGTCTGCAAATAGTCTCGAAACTCGACAATGTTTTGGTGGCAAAACATGACTTCGTGGAGTAAATTTCGGCATTGCACGTCAACGTCATCCTTGCGGACTCCGCCGGGGTATCGCTTGATGAGTTCCAGCGCGTACAAAAGGACAAACACGCCACAATCGCACGAATTGGTTTGCCGTGGAACCTGCGCCGAAAATGTCGAAACCAAGCGATTTGAGGAGCGACGGACCTCGGGTTCCACGAGCGTCGCCAGCGTCACGTCAAACGTGATGCCGTGGTCACTGTACCGCGAGTAAAATTCGTTTTCCAAGTACGTTTGCAACGACGCGATGATCTTGACCTTGTTGTGGCATTGCAGCGAGTCGAAGAAGAGAATACACGGCGCATCGCTGCCACCATGCTAAACATGGACCGTCAACACGCTAGACGAACAACGTTGCGTGCGCCGTGCAGATTGGCGACCACGGCAGAGCCTTGTTCACACGAACGAGACAAAAGACCACCAAGACGTACTTCAACGAGGGCAGGTTGAGCGAGGTATCCAGGGTTGCAAATGACGGCCAAGCTCCAGTGGCAACTAGTCGGTCGCAGTGAGACTAGTCACGTGCGGTGCACAAAACCGCCACCACGCTTGCGTCCCAATTCACGTACTTGTCGTTGATCGGGACAAAGAGAAAGCGCTGCGTAAAGATCGAAATGTGTTTAGTCCACCGCCGAATCTTGTCAAATGGGTTGACTGCCGCCATGCTGGTCGTCAGCACCTTGTCGGCTTCTTGGTGTTGGGATTCCTGCTTTTGCTGCTGCACGAGCGTCGTGTAGAAGTGCGTGCTGAAAAAATACATGAGGTCCTGTTGCCACGCGTCCAACTGCTGGTAGCAGTACCTACAACGCACGGCCGATGATAGCCTCGTCCACACATCTCGCCACAGGCAACACAGTCATCAGAGAGCGCAGCAATTCATGCGAATACACGCTATAGGCGTCCAAGTCACAAACCTCCACACCATCGACGCCATGCATTTTCACACTCTCACGAACAATGCGCCGCCCAAACACCACGGCGAAAGATCGCGAAACCAACCACGCACTTGCATCATCAGACACACCATTGCAAGGTTTAGCGAAGTCAGTAACCACAACAGCCCATGGAGTTGTGTTGACTGGAGAGGGGGTGCCGTACTTGAAGAAGAAGTCGATGAGGTTGTCGTTAAGAAATTCGCCTTCCTCGAGACGACCGAGGTCGCCTTCGGTCAGCGTGATGCGATTCTTAGCTTGCTTCATGGGATAATGGACAACTACGCGGTCTTTGGCCTCCTGCCGCGCCGCTTTTTCTTCGTCTGTGTAGCGCTGCTTTCGAGGCGGGGAGTCCACAACGACTGCTGTGCGGTCGTCGTTGGTCGGAGCCAACGATGCGTTGTCTGTCTGGGTCGGGACAGCCGTCGACTCGTGCAGTTTAGCCCGAGACGATGCAAACGTCGTGCCTGTGATGGCAGGCCCGTCAAACAAGGCAGACAGTCCCGCCAGCTTGCGCTTTTCGGCACGGCGCGTTGTCATGGCATGGAAAGCATTCTCGTCGACGTAGTCGAAATCTGATAGTTCAAGCATGAAAACAGAGCGATCGAAGTACAAGCGTACACTTGGTTGCTTTCTTGAATCGACGGTTGGCAATGCGCAGGTACTTTTCCGACACGTCAAACGGCAGCAACGTGTTGGGCAGCTGTGCGAAATGGATGGCCAGGAGACTTTGCATCTTGGCCAGCTCGACGTCATCGTCGAATGCAAACGCACATTCGGGGACAGGCGGTGGGCCGTCTGCGCCGGAGACCTGCAACCTCACAACGTTCGAGCTCTTGTTCAACGTAAATACGACCAACTTGAGTGTTTCAGCCTCGCCGTATCTATCATCAACATCAGCGCCATTGGGATGAACCAAACGTCATGGGTTGACCAGGCAAACCACTCGTACCCGATCGCTTTAATCTCGTTAAAAGGAAGGTACAGCCGCTTGATGTCGTCGTTGGCCTTGCAGTACTTGCTGATGGTGGCCACGGGGTTCTTGGCCAAGAATTGAATCTCAAGTTCACCACGGACGTGGTGAAAGAACAGCTTAGTCGCACCCACATATCGTTCGCAGAGCATGGTATGCGTGCACGCGACCGTTCCTGCTCCAGCCGCGGTCGTAGAGCTTGGTCTTTTCGGCTCGCTTGCCGGCAACAGCACCGCGGCGAATCCTGAGCTGACATGTTCTAGACTAGCACTTGCAATGGAGTGTCGAGCTGGTGGTTTGAATCGTGACTGGTGTCTGTCAAAGTCACTCGAACTGGTAGAGGCTTGTTTTGTCTCCCCCGCGGCGGGCCGTTCGACCACCTGGACGTCGTCGTCTTCGTCGGAGTGCACGATCTCCTCCACGTAGGGAGCACCTTTCTCCTTCGCCAAGACTTCGCCTCGTATGCGGTAGAACGCATCTGCCGCGGCTTCACGAACACCGCGCAACAGATTCGCCATGGTGTCGTTGAATATGGGCACTGTGGTCGGTGGCGGAGCCCTGTGGAATTGAGTGTTTACCACCAATCAAATGTATTTATTTCATATATCGTCAAATCATTGGCTTAAATCATGCATTTTAGTGGAATATAATTTCATTCGCGAAAATATAACCAATCAACGAATCGAAGGCGTTTCAACAGCAAAACGAAGATGCCACGGAAGCTTGATTGCATGAGCACGTGGAAGCGGGAGCGGTTCGCACCGCACACGGCTCAAGGAATCGAGACCACGCATGAAGGACGAAGATAACTTGACTAGTTCTGAAGAAGAAGCGTTCGGGCTGCGCTGACATGCTGGCCAAGCTCCTGAGGCTACACTTTGTAAAACAGTGAGAGCACCGGTAGTGTTGAGACTGTGCAACCCACACATATCAGGAAATGGCCATTTTTGCGACAAGGGCTAGTGTCTACGAGTGTACAAATCGAACTGAAGGCATTGCCTCGACGGACGCCGTTAAGTCAGGGCGTCAAACATGCTCTGCTTTGATGCAATACTCAGTACCGAGCGTCGCATGACTAGTACGGATTGGTCTCACCAAGGCGAGCGTGCGCGCCGGTCTCAAGAAGCTCGCTGCGCGCAAAGCCATCGCATGGATAGAACAAATGTGGCCAAATCGAATAGAGGGAACTTGGGCCGGGCTACGATGGCGGGGCGGCAACAGCATTCGTGGCAGGATGCCATTGATCCGGGATCGGACCGATTTCGATCTTGGCCAGAGCCCGCAAACGTGTACATTCCGTGAGAAACTTGCGAAAGAGTTTGGCTGTTTGGTCGACTTGTTCTGTCCACATAGCGGCTTGGGCCGCGCTTCCGTCGGCGTCAGTGTCTAAGTCACGGAAGACCCACCGCATCAATGGGTGCTCCGACCGCAATTCCAGTACCTTGCTCTCCTTCCGGAGCATTGGCGTGAGCATCGATGGCATGGTGGTTCGCCAACACACGCATTTGGTCACAAAGGGCTCTATATTTGACCTGGAACTTGTCAGCGTCGGCAACTGTGACGTTGGCTGCACGTAGCTTGGAGTTGACGGTCGCGGCGCGACTGAGGGAATTGCGGCGCCGATCAGCATCAACGGTGGCCATCGCGGCGTCCAGATCATTTTTCATGCCGATCGCGCGCAAGTCCTCGACTACGCGTTCGCAAGCAACCTCGTAGGGCTCCCAGAAGGAAAGCTAAACACCATTTGAGCAACACATCACTTGGCGCTGCAAAGGGTGACAAATTTTAACCGGAGCGACGTACCAAGAGGTAGATCTGGTCCTTGTAGTTTGGTTTTTCAACCTCTTGGACGTTGGCGGCGGTGATTTCTACGCGACGGCCGTGACGACGGACGAGCGGTCATGTGGGCGACGCGCACCATGACATAAAATCGGAAACACAAACTTGACGAGGCGCTCCATCAACGACAAGCTCGAGTAGTTGGACTGGACGACCTGTCGAAAGACTTGGGCGACTTCGAGCTCCGAAATGTTGATTCCTGTGCGCCGGAAAATGGCCATGACGTTGTCCAAGCTCAGGTAGCCTTCGATGGCCATCAAGTCCGAGTCGGAGCAGCATACGACCTTGATTTGGTTCATGCGGTCGAGCATGTAATGCCGCCACTCCTCCAGTAGAAACAGCAGCAGCCTACTCGACTCGAGTCACCTCTGTTTGTACAATTGCACACGTACATGTCAGCGTCCGACGCTTTGGGCTTGGGGCTCTGTCGCTCGAGCTCGCGCAGCCGCGTCACCATGCGCTCTTTGTTGTCATGTCCAGTCTATTATGGATACGGGCGGTTCGACGGTCAGAAAACATGCTGGCGTCGTCCCATGTTGCGTCCATCCGCAGAAAGGAAAACGCAGCAGCGCCACGTCCGTGGCATCAACGGCATGATGCACATACCGACGAAAAAAACACGTCGACGATCGCGAGCGCATTGTCGTGGCGGCAGTAGTCGCTCGCGTCGCCCGCCGTCGGCTACAGCTCCGTTGAAACATGCATATCGTCATGCCATGAATAAACGCGTGGACTCGAGGCGGTCATGCCCACGAGAGACGTCGAGTCGGCTACGTACGTGCAAAATCGGGAATTGATGGTGGCCGCAGTGCAGCACCATCGTGATGAACGCGAACGCTTGCGGGGAGCCGAAGATTTTGTCCTCCCCGGACATGCCCATGCCGCACAACTGCGAAAACAGGAGAATCCGAGGATGCGTCGACACGAGCGATCGAGTGTTGACAAAGATGTCGTGGATGGTCTTTTCCGCTTCCCACCTACGCACCGTCCCGTTGGTGCCGCCGATCGAATGGGGAGGAATCGAACGGGCGGCCCCGACGTACCGAGAGCCAAAGTGCATGGTCATGTGGTCGTAAATGTGCTCGACAAACAACCGACTCGCGTTCGTCGATGGCGACGCGTCCGCTTCGATTTTGGACCGGATCAGGTCGGCAATCACGGCAACGAGCCACTTTGTCGGTCGAATGGCCCGGCGATCGCGGTAGTTGGTCTTGCCGTTGCCGTATCCACCGTGCATGAGTTGGCGCATGTTGAGCGGAACGCCTTGGTCGCGCAAGAGTCGCGCCCGGAAGGCCCGCTGGAGCCGATGGATCGACAGTTTCCGACGAATCGAGTCCAACAGGAGCTCCGCCCTACGCAAGCGGCATGCATCGGCCACACCATCGCACGAAATCGAACGCAAGACATAATCACCCCGATCGCTTGGAATGGTCGATGCGCACGCAATCCATGGCACTGTACAGCTCCTTGTCCAGACGGTACGCCACCATGGACGTGAGAGCAGCACTCGCGTGCTCCGTCCGAACCATGCGGTCTTGCACCTGCAACGCCAAGAGCCGTTGATATGCCGCGAGCGCGCGAAAGCCATCGATGGATGACCCGCGGCCTTCACGGAGGACGACGCGAAGCTACGCGACCACGCCGTCATGAAGTGGTGCCGCGAGACTTCGTGCACCTCTTCTAGTGCGTGCTTTGCCAGCGACTGCGCCAGTGGGGGCGACGCCTGCAAGTTGAGTTTGCACTCGGCTTCGTAGAGCGTGAAGTGTTTGGCGACAAGGGACCCGAGGCGGGCGTGGGGGGCGTTGATGCCGCCGTTCTTGTCCGTCGGATCGATCTCCTGGTTTGCCATGACGTTTGGCGATGGTAGCCGCATGCAGCTCGTGAAGAAGTGCAGCGCTTCCGCCGTCGCCATGAACGCGTCGTACGTTACGTGGCCATCCCCGCGCTCATACGACGCCCGATAGAACGTCGCAATCGTTCCTTGTCCATTGTAAGCCACTCAGTCCATTCAATAAACCACACGCGCACCCGCCGTGACGTCGCAATTGAGTGCCAACACCATGGCCCGGAATTGCTCCATGTCCATTTCGGCGTTGGCACCACTGGTGGCCATCAAGTCGTCCGTCGAGCCGGACTGAACGACGGGGGACGCTGCCGTCCCCGCGCCGTTGTTGGTTGTCGCGGTCTGGAACATAAGGCGAATAGCTGCCCGCCGTTGGGCCTGCTCCTCTCGGTATTCCTGCCCATGAAATCCAAGTGATCATGACAGGAAATGTAGTCAAGATTCGTCCATCGCCGCACCTGGAGCATGAGACTAAGCCACTGAAATGCGTCCAGCATCGGACCGTCGTTCTTGCCGTCAAACGACACGACATGGGACGGCCGCTCGGACGGAGGAAGCGATAGCGTCGCCATGGCCTTCATCTTCGAGTCGAACACGTCGCGCTCGTCTGCTGTCGCCTAGTGTGTCCTCACAGTCAAAGCCTCTTCATGTCGACAATGCAGGATGAACCGCCCCAAAACGATGGCTGGATGCGCCGACCGATGAAGGAACAGCATACCTTGGCGAGCACGATTGCCGTCGCCAGCGATGCATGGTGCAGCGTGATCCACACGACTTTCGACACTTGAATCGTTTCCCCCGTCAAGTTGAAATGCGCATCCCATTCATCTCGGAAGAGTGGATACGTCGTCGCATGCCGAAGGGGGCTCCAGTCGAGCTCGCCGCCGGCCAGACAATCCAACACACGCAAGCAAAAGAGCCCAAACACGAGCTAAAGACACAACACGACATCAACATCGCGCCCACAGTCACTCCATCGTGAAGGAGAGGTACGACGGCTGGATCGCGAAGATGGAACGCGCCAGTATACCTCGTCGTCGCCATATTTCTCGTCCAGGAACGACAAAAACACTTTGGCTTCGACGCACTCGCGAGACAGGAGCTTGGCTCCATAGTACAGGCTCCACCGCGCCTCGTCGGCCTAGAATCGGCTTGGCCAAGGCCAACGATAGTGCTGGACGTACTTGGGCATAGATGACGTCGCGTTGGTCGTTGGGGACGTCGCCCATGTAGATGTCTGGCGGGGCAAACCACGCGTACACAAACTCGGCCATGCGATACCGAACTGGCACTCCCATGTGGAAGCAAATGGCGTCATCGAGTTGCTTGGCGTATAATATCGCGCGCATGCACCCGAGTGTCCATGACACGTCTTTCGTCGGGCGCCGACCTTGGAGGTTGGGAAGAAGAATTCGGTAAGCGAGGCACTGCACACGCTTTCCGTCGCGACGTCTGGCCAGCGGCACGGGCTGCCCACTGCCCCCTCCTGCTGCATTGGCAGTTGTCGCACTGGTATGGTTGATCGCATTCCCGCCGCCGTTCGTGTCATCATCGAACAGTGCCTGCCACGCGGAGACGGTGTAACAACAACGTTGTCAGCGCGCTGGAACGATACCATCTGACAGCGACTGCATAAATGAGACCCCGGCCCTTGGTCGTCCTCTGCGTCCATCCCGAGGCCTTGGTCGCCTCCAGATGCGTCTCCTCCACTCGACACCTTGGCGCGCTGCTCTGTCAACATGTCCTGCTTTACCAGGAGCTGTTCCTGTCGGTGCAGTAGGTTCTCAATAATGCCTTCCTTGTCTTGAATGGACGCTTCAAGTTCTAGCACTCGCGCAGTTGCCGCGTCCAGCTAGAGATGATCGATTCAAACCGCCGCGTCGTTTGGCAGAGCATGCAAATTTGGTACTTGTGCAGACTGGATGGCCACGTTGGCCTCGAGCGTGCGATTCTGCGCGACAAGCGGGCGCAGCAACTTGGCTTCGTCGTCCAGCGCATTGCATTTGCGCTCGAGTTTTTGATTCGTCTCTTTGAGCTCGATCGCGCGCACCTTGTCCGAATCTTCGCGCATTTGCTTGAAGATAGCATTGAGTGTTTTCATCGTCTCGCTCATCTTGGCGATCTGTTCTTTGGCGTCAAACAGCTTTCGGTCGGCCTCGGCGCGCTCGTGCTCCATCTACAGTTTGAGCTTGGTCGAAACGTCCGGCGAAAGCCATTGCCGCAGCACCGACGGACCTGATCTTTTAGCGCAGCAATCGAGGTCTCGTACTCCGTGCGCACTGCAGCCATGGTCGTGCCGTGCGCCGTGGCTTGGTCCGTCAACGCTTTGCGGGCATGCGACGCTTGATCGAGCGCTCGTTGTTTTTCCGCCTTCGCGACTCTGTCAACGCATGGCTTTGGTCAACACCGTACCTCGCAGGCAGTGTAGTGCATTTCGAGCCGATAGAACGCAGTCGCGTACTGAATGCGGACGTTGCGGAGCAAGCTTCCCTGTTCAAAAAACGACACGAGAAGCATCCCTTCCAGTTCGCCCAACACAATATCGCTCCACTTTTGCTCGAACACGATCGATGTCAACACTCGCTTGTCCATGTCGTTGACGGGGCGGTACAAGGCCACGACGTTGGCCTGTACCTACGTCAGCCCTTCACGAATGAGGTCCGATGGAGGAATGTATTTCGTTGCGGCGCGATTGCAAGATCGCGCTGGCGCGAGGGATAGTGTGGTCATGGCTTTTGCAGCACGATCCATCGTACGTACCGCCATGTAGTCGCGGTCAATCAGAGCCGTTCGACGGTCACCCTCCCAGTTATCTTTGCCACCAGAGTAGCTCATGGCGGCATCGAAACACGCGGCTAGGTCCAGCACATCGCTTCGTTTGCATGGGCATTCGGAGCGTAGGTCTAGACGACTTGTCATCGTTTGTCCATTGCGATGGAGGTGCATTCGAGTCAAACAGGCAAGGGTGATGGATCGCGACAATAGATGGAATGTTGCACCCACCGCTCGTTCGAAGCGTCTGCCACGTGTGGTTCTGTGACCGCGACGCATGGAGGGACGAGTCGGCCATGTTTTCAATCGCGTACAAGCGATATCCCGACGTCGCGTCGTCAGGCGTGGCGACGATGGATCCGTTTCTTGCGTTGGCATGGTGGTTGGACCGGCCATCGCCGTTTGGATCCAGGGACGGCATCGAGCTCGCTTTGCCCAACGTAGGATGTTTTTCCATTTTAGGTAGCTGGGCCTTTTTGTAGAACGCGCTGCCAGGGTTTCGCAGCGGTGGACGTCCGCCGTCGCCGGGGTAACTCTGCATGTCGCGACCACCACACGATCGAAAGAGCGCGCTGTCGTGGAACGAGCGCGTAGTCTTTTGATCTATGCTGACGTTGAACATGACGCGAGAACGTGGGCGCCACCGCCCGAGAACACGTACCCAAGAGAAACTGCTTGATGTCGAATCCGTCGTCTGCATTGGACTGCGGACGTTCGGGTTGTGTCGTGTGCATTTGAAATGTCGCATCGCCCAAGCCACTGATCGGCTGCGGTTTGCCATGTCGGCGGACGTGGTGCGACATCCACAATGTCGCCGCGCGGCGAGTGTCCCTTCGGAAGTTGTAACTGCCTAGACAGGCGTCGGTTACGAGTTGATCCGAGGCGCTCGAGCCATTCCAATGGCGGGGGTGCTGCCACAGAATCGCGCGATGGCCACGTTTTCCTGGTCGTAGCACCGAGTCAGCATGAGCTAGCAGGGCGTAGTGTTCCATGTTTATCGAGCGGATGACCTACAATCGCAAGCGATGCATTTCCGGGCTCCTCCCATTTCGACGCCATCCTTGCACCAGCAAGTCTCCACTGAAACAACTTGACCACAATCTACGACGGGCTTCTTGAGATAGCCGTGCACATGCCGTGGCGGATGTGGCCGATGTGGCACCCTTTAACGAGGCATGCTGCCATCCACCAAATCGCACACACACACATGCATGCCCAAGGTACATCTTGGCATGGTCTCACTGCATGACCCTTCGGGAGCTGCCGGCATCACAATGCGTCTGTATCGCAACGTTGTGTTCAACGTGACAGCGAGCGCATCAACTGGACTCGGCATGAACGCGTAGTGATCGCCCGAGTTCAGGGAGCAGTTTTCGATCGCAAACACATCCTCCTTGACCCTGTCGGTCACTTGTCTGTCCTACTAAACTAGATGTACACCATCTACATCCACTACTCCGTATCGGAGTCGTCGCTGAGCAGGCCTCTCGTGTACTCACGCGCCAGGGTTGGAGACATGACCTTCTTGGCCGCGTTGGATTCGGAGCCGCAGGTCGCGAGGAGCACCGGCACAAGCACGAGAGCGTGGACGGCGCCGAGGAAGACAATGCCAGCGTACATGCGGAAGAAATACACTTGAAAGAGCTGCGACTTGGCAAAAGCCAGCACGCCGATGCCACAAAACTTGGTCAACGTAATGCCACTCACGACAGACGGCCCGACGAGGGATACGGCGACTTTGGCTCTTTCGACGCGGGTCGTCGTGGACGCGAGCGACGCAAACGTCGACGCCAAGTGGATGCAAAACTCGACGCCGAGCCCGACGCACGCCACCATGTTGACCACAGACACCTGTCGGATGAGAATCAAATGCCAAAGCTGCGTCCGCCGCATACCGCATTGATGGACGTGTGCAGCGACGAGCACAGATTCCACAAGTGCACGACGCCCGCGAGGGACACCGCCATCGACAGAACGGACAGCGTGACCAGGACACACGTTGCAAATTGGGTCGGCAGGAGTAGGGACATCGCGACAAACACCACGCCTAGGCGTATATTCCGTCAGATAGTCCGCACGCTGCAAGAATGGCTGGCCATGGGGTGGGGCTGCTGCAGGACGTACCCAGCGCCAGCAGCACACTCTGCAGCGCAATCCCTTGAATCGTCAAGTACTGGTCGTAATAGACAAAGTACAAGCTGTATGGAAAGGCCACGGGCTCGGTACCATTTCCATGCCTACACCAGGACTTGGCTTGGTGTACCAGCGCTACGGACAACTTACAGCGGCTCGATCGGGTTACTCCACCGTTTGGTGAAGTGGTTGAGGTAGTAGAACGAGTTGATAAACGTCGATTGGTTGACCAGCGGGGACACTTGGAAGCGGAACCTGGACGCAACGATGCCATCAACGTCGGGGACGTCCCCGTGGCGTCTACTCGTCCAACGCGTGAGCATCTTGCACCGCCATGCCAGACAAACGTACCCGACTTGAAACGCAATGTCCATGGCGTACTGTGCACCACACATACCAAAGCTCTGGCAGCATTGCGAATCAATCGGAATTCGCGTAAAGTTGTACACCAACGGATAAAACAACTCGATCGGGGTCACGTCTTGGTGCGACGCGCCCGCTTTGGTCTCGAACGAAAACGGTAGCAATGGCTGCTCAGGGCAGTCACAGTCGCCTACCCAACCCAACTGGTAAGTCCTTCCATTCAACATAGCCAAGGCTTGCACACGCACCAGACTCGCGCTTCTCTTCGAGAAATGTTCGCAATTGACGCCACTGGTTGAACGTGTTGAGCCAAGCAAAGATCGGGGTATCCATATACGTGTCCAGCAGCGACAGCTTGTCCAAAAGGTCCATAGTTGACCTCTGGACGTTGCGGTCCGTGTAGTTGACCTGGCGCATCACCTACCGACCGACGTCAATGAGTTGGTGAAGTACCAGCGACGGCAGCAGCTGCCCGCGCGCTGCGACAAATCTTTCGACACGTCGAACGGTCCACGACGTCGCAATAGGGGTTGGACGTACGATGTAAGCGGGAGGTCCTGCATCACCATACTTGTTTTGCGCCTCAAAATACGAATGGAGGTAAAAGTCGGACGGAATCGCAAGGGTTTGCTCAAGTCCCATGGGGATCTGCGAGACGCTGTAGGAGCTCCACGCCAACCAGGCGACCCACAGCACGAGCTACAAACCCCAACACAGACAGTCAACGTCGCGTTTCAAGTCAGCACACAACGACTGTCCAGCACGCATGACACAACAATCGAGTGGTTGCTGCGCGAATGAACGGTGGCTCAGCCCCGAGGCATGCACCCGGCACGGCACAAGGACGGCGTACGTACCACGATGCGCTGGGTCCACTTTGCAAACAGCACGGGTATCCACGTCGTGTCCAAAAAGGACTGTACGACAGACGAATCCACAACGTCTAGATCGTCCGAGTACGCGCGGATTTGCCGCGTCTTGTCCGGGCTGAGGACGTATGGCTTTTTCATCCACGGGCACAGGTCGTACCGGCGGGCCTGGCACGACAAACTACGTCAGTGTTGTTTAAGTTGATCATGCGCTCGTGTTCTTTGTCCTACCCGAATGCGTCGAGCGTCCAGCGCCAAGGCCGCGGCAAACCACGTCATTTGAAGACAGTAATCAGCGACGACGGCGAGCGCGGCCACGATGCAAAATGATTCGAGCGCTGGAATTTTCGTGTACGCGCCGACGAGAAATGCAAGTGATTCCGAAATGGCTGCGACCGTGATGGACGGACCGACGTGCATCATGGCGTCGCCCAGCAGCTGCGGCAACGAATGGAATCCTACCAATCGTTTCGTCCGTGAGGAGTGATTCATCATCCCACGAGCAATCCAGACCATCCCACGGACTGCTGCAGACATAACGTACCGCGCGAAATGTGCGGCTGGCACCGCGTGAGCCGATCCAGTTCGTTGGTCAAGATGAACATGTTGTCGACGCCGATCGCCAAAATTAAGAACGGCACGACTTCTAGAGTGATCATAGTGATTTCGAGATGGAGCGCGAACACGGCAATGCCTACGCCATCGCGTTACGTCGACGTCCTTGGAAGTCAAGGTAGAACTCGCTACAAAATCAATGCCACTCCAACAAAATGAAGCGCACTGCATCTCGGTGCAGCGGCGACAAATCCTCGGTCACTCAACAGGGCCCGCACTCGTGGCCCAACGAAACGCGACGTACCAAACGCAATCCCCATCGAGAAGAGGACGATCACGATGCCCCACAACCCTAGTCCAAACCGACTGCGGACAGGATCGCGGGCTTTGCCCAGCGCCAACGCCACATACAAAAACATGACGCCGTAGCTGACCACGACAACGAAGGCATTTTGGTGAGTCTCCACTGTCAGCGCGTCCTCGACGCTGCGCTGGGCCATGCGCTCGACGACCAGGCCTGACGGCGACGAAAATCGCGTGTTCAAGAATACCTGGGCTTCCCACGCTTTTGCCAGCGCCTGAAACGTCGAGTTCTGTGGGTTGTTCTAAGAAGTTTGCATGAGGCATACTGGCACAACAGGATCGAGCGAGAGGACAAGAACTAAGGGCTGCGGCTGCATCGATTTGTTCATGGGTGACGATGAAGCATAGTCATGTGACGTACCAGTAAGAATGTGACGATGAGCGCCGACGCACGAGGCGTTGCATCACCGCATGGGTCGGGGTTGGTGTGGCACGTGTCTGTGGCCAGCCCGCCAAACACGACGTCGCGGATGACAGGGAGGCCATTTTGATCCATGCATGGGGAATACGTAGAAAGCTACCAGAGAGACAAACGATGCGTGCATGAAAACAAACTTGTGGTCGTACGAGTGGATGTGTGGTTTGACAAACAATCGTGAGCTTGATGTCGGGGTCCGTGGCGAGGAGGGACACGTTGTTGCGCCAGTACTGCATGGGACTTTCAACCAAGCAGCCTTTTCCTGGAATCGGACGAAAGCACAGGTCGTCCAGCGTGATGTTGCGGCCGTCGACGTTGACAACTGCGTTTTCAATGTGGTGCTGCAACGCCGCAACCTCGGCCAAAAGCGGGGCCGTGATCACGTCCTTGTCGTCGCTGCCGTTTGGGAAATGGAAAATCAGTTGCTCGATGCGAAAGAACGGGCCAAAGTTCTCGTCAAAGTACTCTTGTTGCTTGGCCGACGTGGACTTGGGCGGGACCCACAACTTTTGTGGATCGTTTTGGATTGTCATCTGCAATGCACCCAACGTACACACGATGCTCACGAGAAACGCCATGGCAATCACGGCGACTGGTCGTGTCCCGCACAGCACCCCCAAGCCACGGAGGGCTCGCTGGAGCCGCGACCTCGGCGCCACTCTCATGACAAGGAAATCTTTGCTGGAGAAGCAGGGGAATCACTATCCGGATACTTATCAAGTGGTTTTAACTGGTTTCATGTTTAAACGTGAATTGATCCTGTACAACAATCCAATGGTAATGCAACGTTAGAGTATGCATATTTTACACAGCTAGCTCAACGAGACCCATACCATAGCTATCGTGGTGTCCGCACATTTAGTGCACACCATTCGCCAGAATGTCTGTGATGTTGTTCAGCGCTTCAGGCTCCGCATTCACGCGTGCTCGTCGAGTACTGTCGCACAAAGAATAGGTTTATCGTATAACGTGCATAAATCCACTAAAAACGCAAGTTTCCGCATACAACTTCAGCAGCACAAGGGACAAGGTATCTCGAACGGACACGATGAGCGATCCTCATCGCAAGGAGCGCAAGTGGAGCAGCAAGGCAAGTGCGCCGCCGTTGACAACAATTCCATCGGTGTCAGACCAGTTGAAGGCAGGTGCAACGATGGCGGAGAACACTCCGGCCATGGAAAAGCAGCTTCAGTACCTTCGTAAGCTCGAGGAGCGCAATCGAATCAAGAAAAAGCTCGACGAGCAGTCCAAGAACGACAAGGACGTCCTTGACAAGGAGAAAGAGGTGGGGTTCACTACCAACTTTAACGGCGAAAACGCGCATCGCAAAAACAAACACGCAAGGCCGCCCGACAAGACACGAGCCAAGTCTGCCGGCCCCATGAAAGTGCCGTCGCGAACTGCCCCTGTGGCCGCACCACCGTCGTACTTTATATCAGTGGACGAAAGAGCCGACAGCAAGCGTCGATCGGGATCACAGTCTGCTGGAAACCTCCCATTGCATGCACAGGACTCCAGGGCGACCAGCCGACCCAAGCAAAAGTGGGCCAAGTACGAGCCATTATTGACCACTTCAAGTGGTTCGAGAGTAACGTGTCGCTAGACCACAAGGTGTCGCGGAACAACGGGACGGATGCATTGTGTTTTCGCAGCAGCCATCGTCCGCCTCCAAGAACGAAGACAACGATGCCGAGCCCGAGGATTTTGACGATGAGTACTTGGACGAGTCCTTTGAAGAATTTGAGGACAAGCAGGCGGGCGACCTCAGTTTGTGCAAGGAAACCAAACAGGACGGCATAAATGTCGAAGCGAACACTGTCGCAAGACCATGTCGGGATGCTGTGCAGCCCACTCCGTCAATTCATATGGAAGCCGTGGTTCCAGCCGCGCCAGTTGCATTCGTGGAGGAGTCAGCACCTTCGACGACCGCCGTCAACGTGCCTCTCGGTCAAACCACGGCCGAGTTGAATGCGCTCATCCAAGGGCTGAGTCGTGACAAACAGCGTGAGCTAGTTAAAGTGTTGACCACATTCACCAACAGCACCAAACAGTAAGGCGTACTCTCATTGCGCTACGCCCAGCCATAACTTACCTATGCCGTTGGGTAGAGCTTCCGATGTCCATGCTCTGCAGCAATCGATCGCCGACCCTGCGCTGTGGAGCCAGCTGACGGCACCAATCGCTCAACTCACGTCCAACCAGCGAGCATGGGAAGCCGAGATGGCCCGAAAACTCGAGTTCGAACGGGAAGAAAGCGTGCGGCTGATGGCTGAAGCCGAAGCAAGACGAGCCGATCGACTCAGAAAACTCGAAGCCGAAGAAAGGGAATTTGAGGCTCTCATGATGCAACGACGCCAAGACATGCAGCGAAAGCTCATGGAGGCGTCGATGCCCCTCGCCGTGCCGTATCCCATCCCGCCACTTGATGTTTTTGTTCCATCGCCAGCGCAGACGACGTCGCTAGCCCCGTCGAGCCAAGCGACCGAAGGGCCGGCACAAGTCACCACTGTCGCTGCTATAGCTGCAGCACGAACGACTGCAGCGACAAAGTGCGCTATTCGTGATCCACCCCAACAACACATGCCTCCGCCCAACATGGCTACACCGCGGCAAACAGTCAGCCCACCCAAGCCGCAGCAGCCATCCATTCCGCAAGTACCCCTGCCATCTGAAGTGTACATGTCCATGGGGCTTCCCCCCGCAGCCCCTTCCGCGCCCAACCCGTCCAAGCAAAGCACGACAACGCTCTCGAATCCCAAGTCGTGGATCGAAGTCCGCATTAAACTCTTGTCATCCTGGGGCAAAACGCGCCTGGTGGGGTTGACGCAGGTACGACATGTCGGTCGAGTCGAAGAAATGACCGACCGTCCGGCGTTAGATTTGTGTGTACGACATGGACGGCAACGAAGTGGACGTGCCGGTGGAATCGCTGCGGCTGTTCAGCGGTCCATCGGATGGCCAGCCCATTCCCAAGTCCAACAGCATGGTCCGTGACTTGTGTCGGCTTTTCAACGGCATGGCCAACACTTGCAACGACAAGGACATGTGGCTCGGGTACGCTTCGCCCTCACACGCTGCCCACCACACCATCCTGCATTGCGTAGCCGTCAAATCGACGCCCATCCGTTGCAAATTGTATTTGGTGTGCCAGTGGTGCCAAGTAAACTGTGTGTTTGGAACTACAACAGTGTATGGCTCACCATTCTCGTGGGAATCGCACGCGACTTTGACGGCGACGTTTGGACGTAGAAACTGCACGTCGGCGCATGTGCCCAAGACGTTGAAGTGTTTGTCGACAACCAGTGCAAGTGGACCGGGTCGTTGCCGGAAACGTACGGCTCCGAGGTACACCGATCCATCCATGATCGCGAACGAATGGTCGTGCGACGCGTGCGGTCGGGGGTGATTCTTGCCGGTCGCTTGCGGTCCCACAAGCAGAGGAAGATGGACATCAGCGCGGCGAACGAGGTAACTCGATTTTTGCTCTAGGACGAAAACGTGTGCGTATGGATCAGCGTTGCGTCGGCGATGCGGAAGAAAGCGAAAGACGTGCCCAAGCCATTGGCGAACGCCCCCGTCCAAGACAACGCGCCGCACCCCACGACTACGACTTCCGGCCCCATTTGGCTGGCATCGCCATCTGCGTCGACAACCCAACTCGCCCAGAACAGCCTGAAGTTGGACAGTTCCTCGCTCACGTCTCCAGCAACTACGGCCGGACCAACCAATCCGAACGATGCCAAGAGCATGAAGCCCCTTCCGCTTGACTTGCTCTCCTCCGATGCACCGATCATGGCCGGGTCGACGAAAAACCAAACGAGCCGACGCCGCAACGTCGACACGACGAGCATCAGCACCACGGACCTGAGTGCAGCGAGCGTCGCGAAGTCATCGACCACGGCGCAGCTTGAAATGCCAAGCCTGCAATCGTCGTGGGACACGTTGGAGCACTTTAAACGAACAAATCGCAGCCGCCTCGAACCAGCAGGCACAACCACGTCGCGGACGTCCCTCGGCATGCATGGGACTTCGAACGTGACAATGCAGCCCACAACGTTCCTTTCATCTTCGTCCTCCATCCAGCCCGACAACGACGACGTGCGAGCAAGGAGTTCCATCAAGAACTGTCCGTCCGACCTCCTTCGCGCGCCGACACTCCCGACACCATCGCTTGCGATTCCGATCTTGCCCACGGGGCGAAAGCTCGTGTTGGAGTGCCTGTCCACTTGGGGAGATCCTTACTATATTGGACTAAACGGCGTCGACATTTTTGACGACCGCGGACAGCCCGTGGTCGTGTCGGCTCCGCAGGTACATCCATTCCATGTGCATTTCATGACGGTTGGGCATCGGGTAATGGATCTACTTTGTGTAGGAGCAAGTTTCGGCCGTCCCTGCGAGCATCAACGTCTTGCCCGAGTACGCCAGCTCCAACGAGCGCGACCCGCGGGTGGCCACGAATCTGGTACGGCATCGCCCGATTCTGGCGTGTCGAATGATCCAAACCCACACATTTTGCGTCACGCCATGAATGTCTGCATGAATAGGTGGATGGAGTGAACTACACGTGCGACGACTTGCACATGTGGCTGGCTCCATTTACTCCCCATGACGTCCATGCAGTCACCGTCGAGTTTCCTGCGGCCATTACGATCTCCATGCTGCGGATATGGAACTACAACAAGTCTCGCGCCCACAGGTATCGATAGGACCACGTCGACTGCGGGGACTTATTCTTGTAGCTTTCGAGGCGTCCGGGTCGTTCGAGTAGTGCTGGACTCGCAGGTGATCTTTCAAGGCGAGATCCGACAAGCTCCCGGCATTTTGGGCCCTGTCGACCAGTGCTGCGAAGTTATTCTGTTCACGACGGACCAGGTATTTGCAATGTGGATGTGTCGAGCGCCTGCGTGCGGTTTGAAGATTTGAATAGAGTCTGCTCGCTTCTATTGAGCAAATCGATGTGGACCCAACCATGGACGACACGGCGGACGTGGTGCACGACATCCACACAATTCCACGGCCAACCACCGCCGAACAGCGCAACAACCAACGGCCCAAAACGTCGCACACGCCAATCGTCGCGGCGCCATCGGCAACCCTCGATGAGGCCCCCCAGCCGTCCATGGTTCCTGTGGCCTCTGCGAAGGAAACTGTCCTGCACACGTCTCGGTCGACGGCTTCGCCCGCACAAGGGTATCGTGGCCGTGTGTTGAAGCTTATCATTCAGAGCACATGGGGCGACCGACACTACGTCGGTCTCACTGGCATATCTCTGAGGGTTCTCCGTCCAGAAACGAATGTGATTGTCTCGAGTCCCCTGGCCTCCCATCAGCTCCAGGCAACGCCCCGTGACTTGGAATCGGTGCGAGCGCCTTCCATCCAACGTTCTTCCCCAACGATGCCACTTTGATTGTAGCTGGGATACGTCGGCGACCCCAGAACACTGGACAAGGTTGGTACGGCGTGCGCCACTCGAGAGTTTGTAGTTTCGTGACGTGTGTGGGTCCAAATTCTTGTGGCCTTGCTGGCCATCCATCCCAACATCGGTTTTCTCCGTTTAGCTCGTCGATGGCATCAACGTCACTTGCGATGACACGCACATGTGGCTCGTTCCGTTCGAAGGTACCGAGGGACGATGGGGCTGTCCACGATTGTCAATGAATGGCCAGGAGGCAAAGCGGAACTCAGCGTGCACTTGCCAACCGACTCTGTCCTATTTGGGTTGGACGTGTGGAATTACAACAAGAGCGCCGAAGACACGTTTCGCGGCGTCAAGACGGCACTCGTGGTCGTCGACAGCATCTTGGTCGCGACGGTCGCGGTGCGGAAAGCCCCCGGCCATGCGTTGTTCGACTTCAAGCAAACCATTGTGCTGGACGAGTGGGCGCGGTACCCCGGCACTCGTCCCAGCCCATCGCTACCAACGTACAAGACGCACCTTCTCAAACAGGACTACGAGCCACCGCTCCTCCCGACGGGATTTCTTCTCAAGGTACCCATCCCGAAAGACAACTGCACGGCATCACGAGTTGTTGTTCGTGCCATCTAGTTTGTCTTCTGGAGCACGTGGGGCGATCCATACTATATTGGCTTGAACGGCATCGAGCTGTACGACAGCCGGGGCGACAAATTGCCACCGCCGACGCTGGTGGGGGACTCGATGCTTCGTCTTTCATGCGAGAGTGGTGTAGGTGGCCGCGGCGCCGTCGGGACTCGCCGACGTTGACGTGCAGGACGACATCCGCGTCGTGCAGAACCTGTTTCTCGGCGTCAACAATACGTGGGATGCGGCCAACGCATGGCTTGCTCCGCTAGCATCGTCGTTGGGCCGAAGCGAAGGTACGTCCTGTGGAGCTCTGCAGCAGGCGCTAACTTGGCACTTCTCCGTGTTTCATAGGAAATGTCGTGTTTGCAGGGTTCGACACGCCCGTGACGCTGTCGATGGTCAAGGTGTACAATTACAGCAAAACACCGGACCGCGGCGCGCGGGAGATTGAAGTGTACTTGGACGATCTCAAAGTGTACATGGGATCGCTGCGCCAAGCCCCGCCGCCGCCTGGGATCACGCGACTCGGCAAGGTCCAGCAGGGAGTCGAATTTGGACAACCCATCTTGTTTACGCTCCACCCAGGTCAAGTTGAGGTAGGTTTGGCAGACTGGGCATGGCTATGATGATGGGAGTGTTAGACCGAGAAGCGAAAAGTAGTCTACTGCGGCAGCGAAGATCAAGACGTGCTTTGCATCAACGAAGGTCAAGTCATCGTGGAATCCAAAGCGATGTATCGGTCGCCCGATCCAGGAGCTGAAGGCGTCGTTGTCGATTTGGACAAACGGCCGACCACAGCCATGTGCCGAACGTAGTCTCAAACGAACAGAGCGATCACGCAGCTTGCAAACTCTGTTTCGTGCATACGGGTGCCGCAACGGTCTGTGGGACAGTGGGGACACAGGGAAATCTATCGCAGTGACGTACACAGCCGACACCTTCAAACGTGTGCTCAATTGCAGCCTTAGCCAGTTGAATCACCGTACTTGGCAGCTGTGCCTTTTCTCTCTTATCGCTCCGCGGGTTGTCATGGCTCTGCTTGTCCGTGTTGGTGGCGCCAACATCCGGCGCGAAATATTTATTCAGATGCACCGATTATTTGGACTATTTATGATGTACATAAATAAATCATTATTTTTCAAAAGTGTTTGGCCGTGTGAAGTTCGGACATCTGTTCGAACACATGAAGGCGACTGTCGGTGGCCGTGACATCCTGCGATTCTGGCGCTCGCATCACATCAAGCCGTTGCAGGAGAATGCCGTGAGCGGGAGGGCAGGGGCACGAACGAGCATGGACAACGAGCATTCAGGCACAAGGAATGCTCGTCGAGCACGCACGATGGATCGACTATTGACACTGTTGACGTGGGCATGCGTTGTTCGGGCCATTGCAAGGGTAGCGACAAGATACAAAGTATGCATGTTTGAATGATTGTTACAGAAAAATCATGCCATAGTTGTGAAGTTGGGTGGTCGATGTTCTCCTGTCTGACAACGTTGTGGTGGCAGTAGCGTTGGTGGTCGAGCGATGTTGCAGCAGCGCTTGACAAGCCAGAGGCAGCGTCGTGCAGTCCGTGAGATGCTTGGCAAGAGTAGCGCATTCGGCGTGTGAGATGACAGCGATGTCTTTGGGAGGAACGTTGTCTTGTATGGTGCGAGGGAGTAGCGTCAAGTGCACTTGGAACACCATGTCGGCCAAAGGTTGCAATTGTCAAAGTGAGAAAACTATACATCAGCAACCCAGAAATTGACATATATAAATTGCAATATTCCGAAGTATATAAAAATCAAGATATAGTGGAGAAAATCAATAAAATGCAAGACAATTTGTTCACGTACGAGCCAATCACGTGCGAGCAATTCAAGTACGGAGGTCGTTTCACTCTTGTCGGTTGAGTGGCACCAGTCACCCACGGACGCGGCCACGGACGGCCACTTTGACGGCCTTCCGCGGCTCGAATGGAGTCCCCAAGGCTGCAGCATTTAAGCAACATGCACAGTACTGGAAGCGAATGCGCATTCTGAAGGTTTTCGAATCAACGAACAAGCTAGTACGTGTGCTTGGGTTGTATGTCGCCGCTGTCTTGGCGAAACGTACACACGCAAAGCAGGACATGTCGGGCTAAGCTGTGCTCTGACAGTCGTGTCTTTTGTCGACGATTCATCCGCACCACCTCGCCCGATGCATCCTCACTGGAGAACGGGACCAAGGGCTTACTTTAACTGCCAGATTCCTTCAATGCAACGGAGCGAACGCAAGGAGATCTCACGAAAGCGTCGTAGTCTGCATCACTGCAGCAACCGACCATCGACGCATGATACGAACGCGAGTGCAATGCCCAATGCATTCAATTTCGTCGAACTTACAAGCCGTGTTAACGCTCCAATTGTTGGAGCTTTGCGAGGTGCTCTATTGAGTCGAGTACCTGTTGGATGTGTCCTGCTATACTCCGCGCCTTGGTCTGATGCACGTCGCGCTGCTTGGTCAAGACCTGGATGCAATCGGCCACGACCGTCGGAACGTCCTTCGCAGGCACTTCCATGTACACTTGCAAACCAATATGCACAATTACGTTCGTCTGCGGGGGCACTTTGACCTTGATAAAGCACTGTTTTCCCAGATCCGCCTGGAGTTTCCACGACTTGTCCACGGCGTCTTTGGCAGCCTTCGCTTGCACGAGTTCCACGAGGTTCTGATACTCGGCGATCTGTTCGTTCAACGCATCGCGTCGCGCCAGGGCATCCGTGAGCTGTGGCCGCAGAGTATTCTCGACAAACGCCGCGTATTTCTCCAGCACGCCTTCCATCTCGTCCGGCCACTAATGTCAACGTTCCGTGCAAAATGCGATAAGATCGTACTTTTGAGGACCCACTGTGAATTCACTCATTTTACCTTATTCAAGTACCATGAGTGAAACAGCTTCAGTTTA